TTTTAACATTCTTATGGTGACACCCGTTCACCATCTTCTATCTTATTCACATAATAGCAAAACTACTCTACATCGTTTTTCCGATTCCAAACGATGAAAATTTTCTATCATTATTCAGATATGATTTCAGCTTTCTGAAATCAACTTTTGATCTTACTAGGCATTTCCTGAGGTGTCCGCTCTTCATCCTGCCTGGCCAGGGCAAGTGAATAACTATCACAATCAGGAATATCACCTTTCACTTACTTCGAAATTATCACGATCGGATTTCTACTGTATTAAACTATTCTTATTTTATTAGCAAGACAACGTATTCCTTACACTATCAGATCAGAAATTTTTCAATCTATGTTGGCATGTACACCTTTTATGACACTTTGGACTTCGGTTTATGCCGAGAATCGGCTAAACCTTAGCTCTGATACCATTAAATGTAACACCCCCAACCCGTATCCGACCCGGATACGAGTCCGAAGTGTCACATTGACTTTTCAAACCTTGACTCTTAAGAAAAATCCCGGGAAATTTAAAACTTTATTTAAATCAAAATAAAGACTTTATCAGAGTGCTCGTACTTAATGACTTATTACATGCCAACACTTTATACATAACCAAATACATACTTTGTCAAATATTTCTGATCTGATCTTTTGGTAAGGAAAACTGACCTGTCTTGCTCCGCATCACTCCTTACTCTTCTCGAAACCTACGTGTGAAACAATCACACGCTAAGTCGAAGACTTAGTGAGGCATAACAACTTATAATGCACTTTAAAACATATTGATACATGCATGTTCTGTTCTATCATGTTATAGCAATTCCATGCATTTTTCATATCGTATAAAATCATCAGATTAATTGCAGTAAATACATACATACACATAATCATCATTAACAGTTTATCATATAATCACATACTTTTTCAATCAAACACTATACACACACAACATCATATCATTTCTATAGCATTTATCATACCACTAACTTATATTTGTTCATATCTCTGGATTAGCCCATGTACATATGTGAGAACTATCGATATGTGAGTCTATAGAGGTTGTGCACTATGCTGTCACCACAGCTCGTATAAATGCCCCGAAGTGCCCCGTAGAATTGCACCGTAGTGCCATATAATGATGTCCATAAGGACCACGTAGAATTCTTTAAGAATCATATACATATGCTAGGGATCAAGTATGTGTCTTTCCAGACTTCACACATGTTCCAAAGAATATACATATGTCCCGAAGAACCGCGTAGAATTGCACCGTAGTGCCATATAATAATGTCTATAAGGACCACATAGAATTCTTTAAGAATCATATACATATGCTAGGGATCAAGTATGTGTCTTTCTAGACTTCACACATGTTCCAAAGAATATACATATGTCTCGAAGAACCGCGTAGACCCTCGACTTGGCATGCCAACTATACCCCTAGCTCTCATGACACATAACATGGGCGTTATCATTTATTTCATTTCAAATATTCACATAACTTGTAATTCACTTTCACATATCACTTATCACATAGCTTTTCATATTATCACATAGTCACGTAGTTCACTTACACGTAGATCATTTCCATATAATTCACATGTCACATATCTCATGTTCTTGTATTCATATAACATATAATCACATAGATTACTTTCACATCACATAATTCATAGTTATGATTTCCTATAGTTACCTAATTATAAAGCTAATTCACCTATACATGTTTTCATATAATTTCTATCATTTCTCACCCAACCACATTATTCATGTACACATACTCATCATATCTTGTTCACATATGATCATATACTTCATATAACAGATAGGAACACTTTCACGTAGCTTATAATCATAGGTTTTGTCTCATAACATATACTTGTTTCACATATATATTTCATATCAATTCTTATACCATCACATAATTCCTTTAACATACATAACATATCATGTAACATTATAATAGAAATATCTATAAGTCATATCACTTAGAGCACATACACTTATAGTCACATTGCTTATATCTTAATCTTATGCCTTCTCTTAGACATATATATATATATATATATATATATATATATATATATATATATATTCACATGTTCAGGTAATCCACCATTCATCACATAATTGTGTATTCATATAACTCATTTCATTTCATATCTATCTATATATATATATCCTCAAGATTATCCTAATATAAATCATATAGCACTCTTATGTTTCGTATTCATATTCATCTAGGGCAGACTTATAAACATATCTCACTTCTATTATTTCTTTATATGTGATCTAATCTGTTTACTTAATTCAATTTCATATAACTCCTATAATCTTCTCATATAACTTCATAATTTTCTATCATACAACCCATGTGTTATAGTTTTATTTAAACATATGAATCTTTCCCATCTAGCTTATCTTATATGTTCATCTTATCATTTATGTTCAAATCTCCTAGTTAGTGTACTATTCTCACTTCATCCTATAGATCAATATTATCCAGTTTATTTCACTTATCATATAGTAATAATTATATTTTACTATGATCACATAGTTTATATCTCATATAATTCATAACCTTTCTTATGTAATTACTTATACTTTATCATCTAACACATAAAAGAACAGATCAATCCATATAATCAAGCATACATACATGCATATTCCACTCATGCCTTTAATCATGAATTCATGTGTAACACTTTAGGAAATAGACTCATCGCAAGTCTTATTCCCATCGCACATATACTATTGAATATGCACTCACCTGGCCTCACTAGTCAATTCCAATCTCTTATCTTTCCCTTGATCGATCTTACTTGCCAAACGTTCCGGAATTTCTTTATGCGTAGGATCTACATAAATGTACATTTCGAGGTAATCATTAGATACCTACACCTTTTAATTAGATACTAGCAACTTAAACGAACTTATTAAACCAATATTCCCATTTTCCTTTAGGGGGAATCGGTTCCCTACTGAGGGGGTATCGATTCCCTCATGACATTCTGGAAATTTTGTCGTTTGAAGGGGTATCGGTTCCCCTTGAATGGGTACCGATTCCCCTTGCCCAGAAATCATATTTTCAACCCGAAAATTACTTCATTTCCACTTAAACACTTCATATATCATCCCTTTTCATTCTTAACTCTAGTACACATACTTAAACCAATCTATATTCATTTATTTCATCTTAAACCTCAAAATCCTATCTTCCATATGAGATTCAAAAATCATACCAAATTTTCAATGTGTTCTAATTCCAATTCTAACACTTCATACTTCTTAATTTAACCCTTGACAAGTCAAATTCAACTTCATAATCTATTATCTCCTTCCATATCAAAAATTCACTTAAAAACTCATTTTTCTTAATTTCTCATAACTTGTTAATCTTTGAGGTTTAAGCCACCTAAAGCTTTCCTTAATCTTTCTTAATATCCCAAGAATCAAAACAAGCTTTAAAACGAAAGAATTAACCAACTAAAGACCCACTTACCTTGTACCAGGCTTCACGGTTGAGAGGAGGAAGAAGAAGACTGAAGAATGCTCTGGACTTTTCTTCCTACGTGCTTATTACCCTTTATAAAGGGAAATAAAAATCTTCCCTGAAAAATTACCATAGTACCCTTAATATTTCCAAACTTAATCATTAAATCCAACATCAACTTTCTTCAATTAAATCCATGAACTTTTAACTTATTTCGAAATCGAGCACCTAGTTTACAAAATTTGCAATTTAGTCATTGACCCTGATTTGGGATGTTACAAATAGAGTTATCGACACATTAATAGAATGATCAAAATAAAATGATAACGATAGTTCGAAGATTAATATAAAATATATTTTAAAGTCTAGAAAATAATTTAGAAGGGGGTTATAGTTTAAGATTTTGATATATAATAGTTTAAAGTTTAGACACTAATTTAAAATAGGGTAAAGTATACAAATGGTCCCGACTATATGGTGCTCTCTCTTATTAAGTTCATCGACTATTAAAAGTTACACAATAGTCTTTCGGCTATAGAGTGTTGTTTTGTTGAGTCTCTCGATTATTAAAAATTACAAGATGATCACTCGAGTATTCATTATATGCCAAATTCTTCCTTTTCCATTAAAAATTAATAGTATTATGAGCTTAATATTAACTTACTATGATATGATAAAATATGATCTCAGAATCTCAAACGACTATAATATCTCTGCCATCATATTAACGTCCAACAACTTTTTAACAGAAAATGACGAGTCTGGAACACATGACCGTGGCTAGGTTGTTGGAGGCCCTGTGCAAATTCTTGTAAAAGGGCCCTTAGATCTCGAAGTGTGTGGAATAAGAGGAAACATATGTATTTTCTGTATTTTGATCAAAAAGAGGAAAAACATTTAAAGATGTATTACACTGAGCATGCCCACTTGCATTGTTTTTCCCAAAAAATAATTTTGCTTGTTAACGAGATTCAAACTTAGGATCAACAAAGTCATGGGCCCAATGATCTAATCACTGCTCTATAACTATTTTTCTGCTTCTTAATGGCAACAACTGATAGATATACTCTATTTCGGGACCCTTGTTTTTTGAGGCCCTGCGCCGTCGCGCACTGTGGGCCGACTCAGCCACGCCCCTGCTGGAACATAATAAATAGTCGAGTGATCATTTTGTAACTTTTAATAGTCAGAGACTTAACAAAGTAACATTATGTAGTCAAATGACCCTTTTTTATAACTTTTAATAGTTAATGGACTCAATAAAATAATACCCTATAGTCGGGGCCTATTTGTGTACTTTACCCTTTAAAATAAGAATCATGAGATAAGGAATTATCGTGCAATTATCCATCTGTCAATTCATCATCCACAAAACAGGGTTGTCCGGTTCCACAAGCATGTGAAAATTCAACTGCGAATTCAGGGTTCGTTTAGTCAAACCCTAAACCCTTTTTATTACATCATCGTTCGTTGCCATTGTCTGCTATATAAATCTCCATATCTGAGCTTGCCCCAAACAACACAGTTTTCTTCAAGTTTCATTAAAGAATCTGTTCTCACATATCTATATATATACATACATATTGGAATCTTATTGTAATAATTCAGGTATATCATCTATGGATATTCTTTAAAGAATTTGTGCTTATATATATATATATATGGGGTTGTAATTGAATTATCATTGATGTATGGTTACCAGGAAGAAGCTGATGGAGATGGCTGATCATTACTATCTTCAACAAAGTCACCACCAGCAGCAGAGTTGCGGTCTAATGATGTACCGGTCGGCGCCGATGTCGTTGCTAGAGAACCATGCCGGTGGTGTTATCGGAGGCGGTACCGGATTCGATGTACTCGGGGGTTTTCGATCTTCTTCGGGTCCCGAAACGGAATCGTTCTTCATGCTGTCTGATAACGGTTCATCTGATGTGCAAGAATATGAAGAGAAATCTGTGAAGCAAGAGTATCAGATTCAGAGCCTACCAATGCAGGGTGTTGGTAGCGACGTCGGGTTGGCGAATTCGATGGAAGCGGGCGATGGAAATGGCTCGGATCTCGTTCGGCGGTGTAGCTCTCCGGCTCGGTTTTTCTCCAACCAATGTCTAGATGATGGTACTTTCCCCCTTTCTATGATCATTTGTTTGTTTCAAGAAACTTCCCGGTCGGTACGAGGTTCCGATCGGCAAGGTACTACTTTTTTCGATGTGTCATGATTGCTTAAAACTCAAGCAATGCACTTTTCAACGCTGATAGGGTTGAGGGCTTGTAATGGTACCAATGGTGACAATCATACAAGCTTCTCCTCTATGCCATCTTCATATTCAAAGTCGATGCCTCAAATAGCTCGGGTCGAGCACCAAAGCTTAGGCGTTCGCAACGGTGGCAATCGGAGCAACGGGCAATTCATCCTCGACTTGATGACTGATTCAAGGAACAATGCTTCACTTAGTGGCTTGAAAAGAGCTAGAGAATGTGTCGGTGGTGACATTTCTTGTGGCCCAAGAAAATTACAAACTCAGGTACACAGCTAAAACCGGCAATTTTCGATTCATTGTTCGATTTTTCTCCGTTTTCGTCGACGAATACATGCTTTGTTTGAGTAATAACGCGTGGATTTGAAATCAGAACCGGCATGGCAGAGACTGCTCTGCTGGTTTAACTCACCACTTCAGTTTGCCTAAGACTTATGAGGAGATGGATGCAGGAGAAAGGTTCTGGCAGTTTCAAGGATCGGTCCCTTGTAAGATTCGAGCGAAAAGAGGTTGCGCCACTCACCCGCGCAGCATCGCTGAGAGGGTATATACATACGTTTCGATTCCGTCGATTCGTTTATTGTAATTCATGTTCCGATCGGTCTTTTAATTCCGTTTATATGCGAATCTTCAGGTGAGAAGGATACGGATTAGCGAAAGAATGAGGAAGCTTCAAGGCCTGTTCCCGAACATCGACAAGGTAGTTTATCGAAACCGATCTCTCTCGGTCACTCGACCATTAGTTGAAGTTACTCATTTTCGTGTTCTTTTCGGGCTGCAGCAAACGAGTACTGCAGATATGTTGGATATGGCAGTGGAGCACATCAAAGATCTTCAAAGGCAGGTCAAGGTATGTACTGTGCTGTAATAAAATATAAAAGATAAATATTTTAGGGTCGGATCGTGCCGTATAAGATTATACTTTAGAATTTGCGTGAGACGTTATAGCCGTAAATTCTTATAATTTCGACGTTATAATGAAATTCTTCTTCTCTGTCCGTGATTTTATTATTGCAGACATTGAGGGATAACAAAGCAAAGTGCACCTGTTGAAGCCAAAACTGAAGATGGTGTTAGTCATTTGTAAATTGTAATTGAAATGCAATGCACTGAAGGAGTAATACATTCTTAGATTAGAATTTGAAGATGGGTAGGAATAGAATGTTGAGAGAGTTGTGTGATTTGTGATTGTGAAAGTAAGAGATTTTAGGGCCTGATTTGTAAGATCATCTAATCATTAAGTACTTAATGAATATCAATAATCAAATTTTAAAAAATTGTATCTTTTCTTTTTGGGTAAATTACGCATTTAGTACCTAAACTATCAATTTTAATCCGTTTTAGTACCTAAATTTTTAATTTTTGTTTCATTTTAGTACCCATTCAAAATTTAACGTTAATTTTTTTAAAAGTTTATGTACTAAAATGGACCAAAACTGATAGCTTATGTACTAAATCAGTGGTGGGCGTACGTTCAAGTTAGCTGAAATTTCCTAGAATTAGAATTTTCTTCTTTAAAATTCAAAGTTTTCTTTATTAATACATGTATGCCCACCCTGAAATTTTATGGTGCCTACCTTGAAATTTGATTGTATCAAAAAAAAATATTACTAATACATGTGTGCCCACCCTAAAAATTTTTCTAGATCCGCCACTAACTAAAGGCATTAAGTTTTTAACAGCGGATACTAAACGTTGAGTATGGTTTTGAAAAAAATTAAAAGTTTAGGTACCAAAACAGACCAAAACCAAAAGTTTAAGCACTAAATGCACAATTTACCCTTTCTTTTTCAACATTTATTTGAGGACCAATTTAAAATAAGGACCTTAATTTAGGGATAATTATAAAATATTCAAAAGTTTTAGGATCAATTAAGAATGAAAGTCATTAATTTAAATATAAAATTAAAATGTTTACAAATTTAGGGACCAACTTAAAATAAAATTCATAGTTTGGAGATATGCAACACAATTAAATCTTCAATATATATTTATTTAAAAGGTTAATTTTATGAAACGCCCCCAAACTATCCAAAAAAATTTAAATTAGTCCATAACTTTAAAATATTCTAATTGAACATACCATTTTCATAGTTTAGTTGTCAATTTAGCTTAATGCATGTGGATTAAATTATGAACATGCCAGTAATCAATCTATTACGTGAATAATTCAAATATGATGCATTAAAAAAATATAGTTTTTGACTGCCCTTACGATTCTTCACCTTAATTAATCCGGATATACTTGTGTCGCACAACTGATTTTAATAATTCGATAATTCAATTAGAAAATCAATTTTGAACCCAAGTGAAATGATATTGATAATTCGATAATTCGATGAAAAGATCGATTAAGAATTCGAGTGGTTCGGACGTTTAATGCAATTAACTCTTAATAATTTGCAAGAATGAATGAATAAATATCTTATCTTACCATTTTTGACATTTGATATGTGCCATCGAACTCACTCACCTTTCTTGCAAACAATTATTTGAACCCTTTGCGTAATGTATGGTTTGTCATGTAACAGGAACCAGTTTTTTCATGATTCCCCTTTGTTTCCTTTCAGGTTAATTACTGAAAGCTCTTGTTCGACAAATTCTCCGGCGCATATCGGTGGATATTTGCTAGAATGGGGCGCTTCCGCAAAGTGTCCGAGTGGCTTTAACACGGCATCCGAAGCTATGTGCGCAAACAACTACATGAAATATACCAAAATGTTATATCTGAACTGTTGAATTTTCAAATGCTAGCTTGATAAGTACGATATGGTTCGGTTCACTTACTGTTGAGGATACTCTCCATAGGCTACGATTTTGCTCCGTTGCTAACTTTATAGCCTCAAGTGTCCTCTTTGTGACGACAACTTTGTGCATGCCGGCAGCGCACTCACCGGCAGTCAACCATTCTATCTGTGCACACGAGACAGAAAGGAAATGAAATACTTGCATGAATGTGGCGTATCATGCTTAATAAATCATGGAAGAAGATAGCTAAATCACCATCCACAAATTTCGAAAATTGCAGGCGGAAAGAATAAAGGGAATAAATCAGTGCTCGTGTTCTAACCTGCTTCCCGGTTTGAATTAGAAGACATCCTATGGGAACCTTCACCTCGATCTTTTGCCCGTTCCTTAACCAGATATTTAGACCAGGGAATCTGCTTCTACCATGGATAGTTAGAAAGTTAAGGTCATAGTGGTAGCCTGCAAAAACAGTGCCCTCCTGCCCATAACGTCTGAGATCGCTCCCTGTTGGAGCTAGAAGATGTGGCCCCTGGATTTGGAAGCATAAAATATTTCATGTCATGTTCAGTGATAGAAAAATGATAAGCTTCCCGATGGAAAACGGAAAACAATATGAAGTGTACATGCCTCTATTGTGAACAAAGAACATCAAGCATGGCATGGCATGATTCATAAACAGAGATAACAAGCAATGAGAGATAAAGAACTAAATCAAGATGGCACCGAAATGCTTATCTCACCATGAAAAAGTAGGGATATATGGGTCTTACCAGGAAAAAAAAACAGAAATGTAACAGGGTAAGCATGGAGACCAGAAAAGCTTCAAATAGACCATTCACAATATTCATTTATCTATATCATGCCGCATAGTTTATATTGCAAGAATGAGCCGCATTATGTTGAAGGTAAACATGAAAGTGATACTAAAAGAAGTTGAATTGGAAACTGGTTAAAATTACAGACCTGCTTCATAAGGGAAGTGAATGCATCTTTTGGCAACCCAAACCCTATTGCTGCCATTTCAGCAACAGCCTAAGCAAGAATAGAGACGTCACAAAATAACTTTAGTTTTAAGATGGGATGGATCATATAAAGGCAAGCAAAACCAAATAAGCAACTCACCTCTATCGCCGATATCATTTTGTACCCCCATGAGTCCATGATCTCTTTCCATTCAGGGAAACCTTCAGGTATGACAGGTTCTGAATTAAGCTCCTGCAAGGGAAGAAATGAGAAGAGAATGGAAATAGTGTAAACCTTTATTTTTTAACTTGTGAGAGGAAAGAAGAGAAACAAGATACCTGAAACCGGGTCTTTAAAGGGCGAGGGCCCACTCTCCACATATATCACCACTTGGGATCAGGGCCTTTGGGAGTTAATGGTTGGTTTTCTATGGCCATTGCCCTCAACTTTGCTTGCATTTCTTCATCAACCAAACTTCTTGGTACTTCCACTCCCTCTGGTGTTACTCCTACTTGTAATCCCCATTTGCACAAAAAATTAATCAAGTAGATAGTTTATACTCCAATATAAACAACCATTCGGGTAAAAATTAAGAAGATTTCGCTTGCAATTTTACTCATTTGAAGTAAAATTGAACACTTCAGTTATATGGATATTTTAGAACCTTTTTCTTTCTTTTCAACAAAGCAAAAGAACCTTATTACGCCAATTGTAATTTTTAGCTATTTTATTTGACGGAACCCAGAAAGGCACAAAGAAATAAATTTTAAAATTTATAAATCGCTTGATTCCATGCTTGCAACTTGAATCTGAAATGCATACATTATGCATAAGTTAGTAAAGATTAGATCATTATATGTTTGAGAAGTATGAAAACATAAATTTCAAATTCACAAAATACCTATAGGCAATTCAGGTCATCCACTAAATAGGCACCAAACAAATTCAATTTGTGGAAGTTGCATTTCAATGTGTTTTAATCACATCTGTTCTGTTTTCAAAAATTCCAATCCCATCTTTTAAAATTTAAGTTCCTAAACGTGGCCTGAATGTTCTGCTAAAACCTTATCTGGACAATGCAATAAACATAGTGTCCTTTCTAAAAAAATTGCTCTCTTCTCCACATGTAAATCGAATTTGCTTTCCTTTCCAATCACATACTTCTACGAAATCAAATACACTACAAATGATCATTAACTTACTTTCTACACAAAAATCTAAGCAGCTAGTCAAATTCTAGCAAGCATCCAAATTACAATTCTTCGGAGTCGAACCAAAGCACACTCGAAACACTATAACGAAGCATAAACAGAAGTTATTCCGCGGAAAGAAGAAGGAAAAAAACGGACCTGATAATGTAAATAGGGACGCTCCTGCAGGCGCTTGAACTCGTCCGGCTTCTCTAAGTACTTCTCCATCATATCAATGAACCTATCGTTATCTTCCGCCGTACAACGCGGATCTTTAACGAGTAAGGCCCCGGTTTCCTTAAGGATTCGACTCACCTCGCGGCACAACTCGGTGAGTCTACTCGCTCGCTTCGGCGACGACTCACCTTCGGCGGCAACCTCCAAATACGGCGCTAGATCTATCACCGGTAACTCCATCTTCCTTAGAAAAAAATCTGCAATATCGGAATCTAGATTTTAGGGTTATTTTTCTCTAATTTTTCCTTTTTTAAAGCAAGAAAATATAGTTTATGATGGAGGAGAAGGAAAGTATATTATTGTGTGCTGTTCTTTAGTGATGGCGGGAGAGGGTTTGATTGGGTGCGGATGGGCGTATGAGAGCGAGTAGGGCAGTAAATGAGAGTATGAGATAAGATAGATCGTGAGTTACTCGAGATTGACTCGGTCAATATTCGATAAATACTCTACTTGAATGAAATCGAATTGAGCTTGAGCTCGACTCGAGTTCTTATTGGACATAAATAAGTTACTTAATAGTCGACTCAAAAAGCTCCCGAACAATTAAAAATATACGAATATATTAAGATTTTATTTTTTAAAAAATAAATTATTAATAATATTAACATTTATGTGTTGATTTAAAAAAATGCAATATAAAAACTTAATGTATTTAAGGTTAAAGTTCGAGTTAAGTTTAAGATTTTTTTTTTTATTTCAAACTTTTATGAGCTTTAATTCATGATTTTAAGTTGAGTCGAATTTTAAATTTTAGGCTCATAAATTTTTGAGTCGAGTTAAACTCTATTTTAAAATTTCGAGTCGAGTCAAACTAAACAATACTCGATTTCGACTATTCTCGATTACAGCCCTAACAACTAATTACACTGCTCCAATGAAATGTCTATTTTACTAAATATAGTGCGACAAATAACTAGGGTAAACTACAACATTAGTCACCAATGTATCACTTCTCTCCTATTTCAATCACCATACCATTATCATTTTTATTTATTTTGACCATAGACTTTTAAAAATTTAGCATCCACATCATTCTCTCTTCTTATATGTGTTCTTTTTTAGTATTTTATTTGACCACTACGACGGTGATTATCATTCTTATATATATGATTGGAGTAATATTAGTGATACTTTTGTCAAAGATAATAATTTAGTGACCAAAATAAAATAGAAGTTATACATTAGTGACTAATGTTATAGTTTACCTAAATATCTAATACGATGTTTAATAATTAATGACGATTACAAGTGGTAGTATATGTTCTAGACTCTCAACCATTTGGTGTTCGAACCGGAAATTGGAACATGCGGGGATAACAATCATTCATTTAACACTAAGATAACTTGATTCATACATCTGATATGATATTTAAACTATCATTCTATGAATTATAATAAATTTATAATATTTATAAATTATTTTTGTTTGATTTAGTAATTAAATCAATTGAGGAATGACACTAACTAATAATATTAATCTATATCATAAGAATATACAAAATAATAGTTTAGGTATCATATTAGATATTTTGATAAAGTATAAGTATTGTATTAGAAATTTTAAAAAAATATGTATCACATTAGATACTATACTAAATATAATTACTACATTAGATAATTTGATTAAAGTATAAGGATCAAATTAGATATTTTACTAAAATACTTAATTTATAATATTTAAATAATTAAAGAATGTTTTGAAGTACTAAAAATTAAAATTAGTTTAGAACATATCTTGTATAGGGGTGAACAAAACTAGACTCGATTTGAAAAATCAAATTTCTTTTTTTCACTTTTGAGTTATTTGAACCAACTTAAATTATCAATTTAGTTTTCAAGTTTGAGTATAGTTGAAATTTTGAAATTTCGAGTTACTCGAAAAATCAAAAATTGGAATAAATATTTTGACAGTTTTACGATTTAGTCCCTGATTTCATTATTCATTAAATTCCTCTTTCATTTTAAGCCCATTTTTTTTTATTAAATTTGAACACCATGATCCTAAACCATCGTGGAATACATATGTACTTTCAATTCATTTTTTTGATAACAATATTTTTTATTTTTTTAATTTAGTCTCTCAATTTTTCATAATTTCTTTATTTCATTAATTCAACATTTATTTTAAGTTCTTTTTTTTTATCAAATTTCAAATATATGTTCATATATCACAATAAAATATGTATGTAACTTCAATTCTCACTTTTTACAAAAAATATACTCTTTTTTATTTAACCCCTTAACTCTACATTTTACTCAATTTGATATTTTTAATGAAAATTATTTATAAATTTTTTCTTCTAATCAATTCTTTGACTCATACTCTCATCAATATTTTACTCTCAATATATTTTTTTTAAATATAATATTATGAAAATATTTTATAATTTTAGATTGCATTTGATATAATAAATAACATTATAATGTAAAAAAATAAAAAATATATATAACTCTCATATGATTAGAGAAAGTCAAAAATTAGAACAAATACTTGTCATAATACTATAAATAATTATAATAAAATTAGTATAGAAACTTGAATAACTCGATTCGACTCAAAAAAATTCAAGTTAATTTAGAGTTGATAAAAACAACTCATCAACTCGAATAATGCAAAATTTTGACTCGAATCAATCGAATGCTCACTCCTAACTTTACATACTTGTATTCCCAAACAAACAAACAATAAATATAACTTAATACTAGCCATCATCATAACATTTAGTTACATTATGTATCAGCCTTTGATAACTGTGAAGGAGTAACCTTGAGAGTAATATCACCATAAGCTTCTTCTTGTTCTACATCCACTATTCCATAACTCTTCAATACCTGCAACACCAACCATAACCATGTCGAGTTTCATTATTCGATACAATGACCGGTGAAGTTTCTTTAATGGATTCGAATTCTTAATCCCGCTCGCAAAGTTAAGAAAAGTTAATGTGTACATTATGAACTCACCAATGTCTCGAAGAACATCCGAGCACAAATTTTCCTTGTTTTTCCTTCTAGGATCTTGCTTAAACTGAGGTCCACGTTACCATCTTCTGAGATTGGGGTGATAGGGGAATGACATCTCAGGTATTTAGCCACCGCCCTGCAAAAACCGACACAACCCGAGTTCTCTAAGAAGAAGAGTTCGAATCGTGGGAATGGATGAGCAGAAGGTAAAGAAAAGCTACCTTGTTCTTGCAGATAAGGATCCCACCCCTTGGCTTGCTCCGGATTCTGCAGTAGAATGCAAGAAAATATGTAGAACTCGGATATCATATCTTTATACGGCGTATGCGCGTAGAAGCTAAGAGCATGTTCAACTTACCTGTAGGTGTATGACTATCTTCTTCTAGAAAATATAGATCCTACAATGAAAACGCAATGATTAGATGCATGAGCATTGGAAGTAGATATAAGGGAAACATTTTTTTATGGCTAGCATACTGATTCGGAAGTCCTGAATTCGGGAATGGTTGAAAAGCCGGAGTTTCCCAGACATGATTGCTGCTCCAAAAATGTCATAGGTGTAGGAATCTCAGATGCATGAGTTCCGGTCGATGGTGGAATATTTGTTGTGCTAGCAGTTCTAGGTGCTAACTCTGATTCTAAACTGTGAGCTGAGAAAGGGGAATCCTCCCTCCTAAATGGAGAAGGCATGGATCCGGCTAGCAAAGATCCGAATTCCGGAACAACATTGTCGGAAGCATTGCTTCCGTCGTGACGAAGACATTCCGTTTCCATGTCAACTTCAGGTACTGAAGCAGGAGAAGAACCAACTCTATGATCCGGTGCTGGTGTCCTAATAGCTTCGGTTGTAGGAGCAGCAGACTGCAGTACTGTAGGTTCCGGGATAACTTCCTCCAGCACTGCCAACTGGGGATTTAAGGAGATACCGTCCTTTTTGAACATGTTACATAAATGTTCACTCAACCCTGCAGGAATACAAGTACCACCTTTCTAAGAACCTATTTTTTGTTATTAGATTTAAAACCGAGCAAGATAAGCGAGCAATACGTACCAGTTAATGAAGGCTCATTAAACATATGTTCCGCTTTTCGAGCGTTATTCAACTTCCATACACCTAAAGCCGAGCAAGGGGTTTTCTTTCTCTTCCTTACTATACCACTACAATCTTCAAGTGCCCTCTTCATCACCCTTAGCATACATTCATATTGATAATCAGTTCAAACAACAAAAGAGAGAGATAAAGACTATATTGATCCTACACACGGTTATACCTATTTGGTAACACCAACTTCTCGTCAAATAAATTCCGCCGTCGTCTCCTTCTTGGTTGCTCGGGCGGTGGAGATGGTGGAATAACAAGTTGAGGTGATGCATCCACTGAAAAAGAATAAAAACCAATATAAGTCATTTCCTTTTTACTTGAAAAAGAAAAAAGACAGTAATTTTAGACTTCACCCACCGAAAGCCTCTGGGGGGACATTTGAAGCAGAAGCTGGAGGATCAGAGTGCTGCTGAAAAGGCATAGGCAGCTCTCCAGAAGCTGATAGGTTCAAACTAGGAGTACGGGTTTCCTTCTCCTCCAGGACTTGCTCCAAAGAAGCTGACACTTCAGTTGGATCATCCCTGTTGTCAGGACCTACTGTGGGGTCGTTTTCGGTGGAAAAGTCGTGAGCAGCGTCGCGCATCGTTTCCATCTCCGGGAAATCTTGAGAGCTATCGTTGCTAACAGACTCAAGTACTTGTGTCTGATTACTTGGACCTTGTCTTGCAATATCTTCTGCTTCACTTTGTACTCCCAACTGATTACTAGGACCTGGATCCTGAAAACTAGGCCTTTGCACCTGATCGTCTGGAGCAGGATCATTCATGCCTTTTGAGCCGGTCTCTGGAGGTTCATTAAGGATGCTACAATGATAGAAGAAATCGTAAATGAGAAACAAGCATTGGTCTTTAAAAAAAATAGAAAATGTAAACTTAAAAGATGAAGTTAGGGGATTACTCATTTATCTCTATGGACCCAGATTGGTGAAATGCTTCCTGAGGTGATGTATCATCCATCATGATATCCTGCGCAATACATATGCTTCTGATGTTTAAAATGCAATACTGGTACCTCGAATAAAAACGATACAAATGCTAAACTTCAATTTTCGAAAGAAGAAAATAACTTACATCATCAAAAGTGATAGCAACATAACGATCACTCTCAGCAGGAATTTGATCTGTGAAAAAAAGCGATAAAACACAAATTAACAATAAAATGATAAAATGTTCAAAAAAGTGGAAAATAGCATTTCAGATTCTGTATAGCAACCTGCAAGTGTTATGTCCTCTAGGTTCCTGAGATGATTATCTGCAGCTCTGAAGACGAAAAGTTCAGATATAATCACATTATTAATATCCAGCGACATGCAAAAACATTGAAATGATTTTATTACAGAAAGTCTTACTCTTCGTTATAGTCATCGACATCCAATTCCATGGCATCCAAGTCCAATGTCTGTGGCAAAGTGATAGCATGAACCTGCGCCCGTATTGCATCCTCGGGCAGAGTCACTTTTGAGGGAGCAAAAACCTTGCTTAACCCAATAAGGATGATGTTGCAGTCATGGTAAAGATATTCGACTTTCTTCGAGTATATCCGAACAACGCCCAAAAGAAGGTGGCCTGACATTCTTAATGCAATGGGAACTTCGGGGAACATGATGTGATCTGCGTTGGGATGAAGACTTGGTTTTAAGAAACAGCATTGCGATATGAAGATTCACATGCATAATTATCAAACAAAATACATGCTAAAGTTTGCAACTTTTTCCAATTCAATTGGTTAGTTATTAAGCCAATGCCTCATAATATAAAAAATGACGAAAAATCAGCAAGAAAAATAGAAATGGGGTCAAACCCAAATGAGATGACACTTGGCACAATCAAGCAATACAGATTAAAACTCATGATGATTAAAGAAAGCACATGCTAAAGTGCATTGTTTTTTCCTTCAATTTGATTCCAAGCAAAGCTTATAACTTTTCATCAATGGTTGAACTATTAAAGGAGCCAATTGACATCTATAGAACCAATAACTCTAAATATCGATAATGGCGAAAAATCAGCAGTAAAACACAAACATAGTGGCGGTTCTAGAAATTTTTTTGAGAGTGGATGGCTACACATGAATTAATAACATAAAATTCTACACGGATGAGCACAAATAAAATTTCAGGATGACAAGACTAATAAAATAGATAAATAACAAAAAAAAATCGGATTTCAAGGTGTGTACATGACAACACTTAACTAAGGGTGGAAACGTGATAGCACTTCTATCTACTCAATTCAGTTCAATGCAAAGCTTCTAAATTTTCATCAATGGTCGAACCATTCAAAATTTAAAAGCAAAAAACTAGCCAATTGAACTCTTTTTGGCCCAAATGCGTTTTAATCTCTTAAAAGGTTAATGGAAAACAATGGAAAAAGAAAAGCAAAAAAGAGAGCCAACCCCATTAACCCAAAACGTGATAGCACTTAGCATAAGCAATAGCAATCGCTAAAAAAATTGAAAAGAAGAAGAAGCAAATTTAGGGTTAAAACGATGAAGAAAGACGGACCGACGGTGGTGGGGATATCGGTGGCGGTGTAATGGGACTTCTTGAGGCGGTGCTGGAGATGGGCGGCGCACCATACGGTGCCGAGAGGAGCCTTACGAGACAAAAACGTATGCGAATAAAACATCTTCTCCTCCTCCCGTTGTTTTAAGGATTTCGATGCATTGGGGTTTTAGGGTTTCGAAAGGAAGAACTTTTTTCCTGGCGGGTGACCTTGTAAGGGTTTTAAATAGAGCAGAGCTTAAAGGCCGGGAAACGGCGGGAACGGAGATGATATTAAGCGCCAAAATTAAGACTTTCTGTATAAATAAAATAGAGTTAATTGCATCATATGTCTCCAAATTATAACCTTTATTTTAAATTGATTCCTAAACTTTTGAACTTCTAATGTCATCCTTAAATTACGACTCTCCTTCTAACTTAGTCGTTTGACTTTTGAATATTCTAATTTCATCCCTAAACTACGATTCTCTTTCTAAATCAGTCCCTAACTTTTGAATCTTCCAATTTCATCCCTAATTCGTCCGAATACTCCATTCGTCCCATAATTTGTGTCTTGTATTGACTATGCACATAATTTTATGTGATATATTTGACCAATTGAAATGATAAAATTATCCCTAAAAAGTGATTGATAGATTTGACATATTTGTTTTAATATGTGTAAAAGAGTGAGACGTTTGAGGTTAGAAAAGAAATATAAATGTTGTTATTTGTTGACTTTTCTAATAGGACATTTTTTTTGGTACATCATATATTAATGACTTAATAAAGCTACACTCTTAAAAAAATTCCTTCAACATCATATTGTAAAAGCGATACCACTTCCTCCGAAGGTTCTATGAGTATTTATAGATTCTCCGCTCTTATCAGAGCTAGGTTAGCAAGGCGATTGGCGCATCTATTACCTTGACACCATCTTTGTCGGATTTCTGTTACCTTGAACATTTAGTGGGACAAAGGGAGTGTGTAACCAATTCTAATGATAGTTTAACTTAATTTTCCCCCAAACATATAATAGGATAACTTGGCCTGATGATTTTATCAACAAGGATATGATTAGTATATAAGCATAGTTTGGGATAAAATTGGAATATTCAAAAAGTTTAAGGATTAATTTAAAATGAAAGTCATAATTTGGGGATGAAATTAAAATGTTCAACAGTTTCAGGACTAATTTAAATAATAGTTATAGTTTTGTGATGAAATTAAAATATTTAAAAGTTTAGAGACCAATTTAAAATGATGATTATACTTTGAGAATATGTGATATAATTAACTCATAAAAAGTGGTTATTATAGGAAATGACGTGGATTCAATCAATATTTACGGTATTGTGACTATAGTGGGCAGCAATTTGTTTTATTTTTCCTTTTGAAATAAGCAATTAATTTTATTCAAAATAGGAAATATCCCAAATTATAATAAATTTTACAATTATAATCGTAAATTAAGTATATAATTAGGAAAATATCCTATAAACATTAAACTAAAACTAGCAATTTAAGATCACATAAGGACCATACAAGGAAATATTAAAAATTTTATCAAGAAACTCAAACAAAGATAGATACAGACATATCTGATCGTATATGCAAACGAACCACAAAAGAAGATCAAGCTATCCAAAAACCACCGAAAAACTGCAAATCAATCTAAGTGACGTTAAAAACTATCCATGAACCCAAATCGATATCCAAATCCAGTCCGATGATTGTATAAGAATTTATTAAATCCATATATATAATTATAATTTATTATTAAACTAGATAATCAAAACAATACTTATTTATCACTCTGTTTATCTTTTACCAGTGGCAGAGACACAGCTTGGTTAGGGTGGGCACATGCCCACCTTGAAATCCGAATTTTATTCGATTAATTACTTATTTTACTGATGGTATACATCCTCAAATTTTTCGTGCATACCATAAAATCTGAGTTTTTTTCTATTAGATATTTATTTTATGGACACCCCACACTGAAATCAACCTAACATTTAGTTTTTGTTTCATTTTAATAATTGACGTTAAAAATTAACATATTTAATATCTAAACTATCAGTTTTCGCTCGTTTTAATATTTAAACTTTTGAAAGTATTTCTATAATTCGTCCATAAAATTAAAAGATATATCATATATCTCCATTTCTTATAGTCAATGTTATGTGTTAAGCCATTTTCTTTAGAAATATTTTTAAATTAAAAAAATGGGAAAAATTAAGGCTTTAACACAATTCTTTAAAAACAATAAATTGAATTATAATTAAAATAAGAGAAATTGCATTGTTACTCAGTAAATTTTACTCTCTCCTATTTTATTCATGTACTTTCAATTTTTCTAATTTACTCACTGAACTTTACAAATTAAATCATTTTACTTATTCTACCGTTAACTTTTTAACATTGTTATGACATGACATAAACATCAAAACGTCATTTTAAAAAACTCAAATATACACCAAAACTACGTCGTTTCGAATTCTCTTCTTTATATTTAGGTGAGCAAAATAAGAGAGAAAATAAAATTCAGTAATGAATGGTGTGATTTATCCTTTATATTTTTAATTATTTTATATTAAATAATAATAATAAATGAAACCCATGTACTTAAAAAAAATGAAAAAGACAAAAGAGTACACGAAACTCATGTACTTAAAAAAAATGTCCCTCGTACTATTTTTTCTCATAATGTAATCCTCCAACCCAAAAAAGAACACAATGTGACCCTTTAACCAATGACTCCATTATTTCCTTCATAACGAATTTGAGAAAACATCCACTCCAGCATGAATTAACAGAGCCATTGGTCAACAATAAAAAACATTCAAAGTGTCATATTGGATTATTTTTTTGAGTTTAAGGGTCATAATAAGAGAACAAACAGTACGAGGGTCACATTGATTTTTTTTTTAAATAATGTGACTTCACGTACCATTTTACCGATAAAAAACGACGACCACAACAACAATAGTACGTCACAACTGATATCCACATCCACAAACAAGTATATTTATTTTCAGAGTTAACAAATCAAACTACAGAATATTACCCTACCGTTTCCAATCATCTATTTACCTTACCAATACCCCATGTCTATGGGAAATGTTATGAAGAGAATCAATACAGATGTGGTCATGTTTCTGTAACTCAATGATGCATACAACGATGTACTACTAGTAGGCTCGTCAATGGATTTTGATCGGCACAACCCTTTCCCAGCCACCCTCATCGGTCCTCTCGAATTCTCGTGGTTCCGCCATCGGAAACGTTACTAGCCAGTCTTGATTGCTAATCAGATAGTCCCACAACCTTTTTTTTGACATAAACCATATACATACACCACTTAGAAATTACTAATTTCCTTGCATGTAAAGCCAACCCATTCATCCCACAACTAGATTTATAATCAATCAAACTTGCATACAAGTGCATCATTATTCAGAGACCCTTTTTCTATATGATGTCATGGGCGTGCATCCGTGCGTGTGGAGAGAACCATAAGCATGAACTTTTCGTTTAAAGATGAGCTCACCTTTTCTCATTCTCCACAAAGTCTGGACCCTCAGCCAGAGGTGAAGTAGAGCATGTGGTAAGGATGTCGGAGTCGGAAAGATTTCGCAGTGACTTAACAATTTGTACCAGGCGATTGGTCCTATGTCAACAATAAAAGCAAGAGTGAAACAATAAATTCGAGTTCATAATATAGCAAACACACACACACATATATACTTAAGAGACTTGTAATGTAAAACTAGGCAGGCTTAGTACAATTGCTATTGTAATAAATAGATGAAATAATAAATTGTCAAAATAACATTTTACCAAATGCAAGGAGCAATAATGAATCTATCAGTTTCAGTGTCATAAGTATCCAGCAATTTTCCTTGCCAATAGGGGTCTTCATACGAAGCAGAAACTCGGAGTCTCCGGACAATTTCATCTGGACATCGTGAAGTTCTATCAAAGCTGGCAGGGAAGACGGATCCAGAAGAAGTTTCTACCTGAAAATATGCAGAGGAACGTATTATTTTCCAGTAAAATATTGTCAAACCAGTTGAAATTAATGACTGATATAGTAGTTTCGAAATTTTGCCATTTAAGAATCATGAGCTGCTGAAAATCGGACAAAATGCTTCACTAAGCTCTGCACTTCCATTTTCCATTTCGAGATCAAGGAATTGTGAGAGCTTGAACTTACCAGAAACCCATTGAAAATGGGATATGCATTTTCTTGAGAATCGTATTTGGTGTTATGTCTAAGAACACATAGAGTCTTCACGTGAAATTTTTCCACTCTCTTCTGCATGGTTTCAACAATTTTTCTACATAAAGGACTGGAATAACCACTGACTCGTTTCCCCTTCGACATACTTCGGTCTCTAGCATGCTGCATAAAATGTCAAAACATTAAACTTAATCATTCTTTTTCTGAGCAGGTAACTAAAACTGGAAAAAATCAACAACAAATGAGAAGATCAAGGGCCAGACGTCGGGTGGAACATCTTGAAAACCGCCAACTAAATGCACCTGTGTTTTAAAATTTAGAAGCTTCAGTTCAAGAACAAGTATTATGTTTCAATCATAATGAATCAGTAACGAATTAACAAAAGGGGTATATAATTAGACGTACATCTAAATCTGCATCTGAATCGTGATCAACAACTAGCTTTAACATCTGGGAGAAGCCAGTATCCACGATTTTTGGAGAATCCATATGGGCAACAGATGTCCTGTATAAAAATAAAAAAAGTAAGAATTACCCATCCAACAAGAGAAAAAAATTCCATTAAGCAATTCTGAAATCTATTACTAATTCTTACATTCCGTTCTTCCGGTTCCGAATGGCAACACCCACGCAAGTTGTGGCTTCATCGGTGCCAACAAACTTTCCATATAAGAAATGAAACAAGTTAAAGGAAATAAATAGAGCTATAAAATCCAGAAAATGAAAGGTGGGGTGAATCAAGGCAGAACATGTACAGCAAAGGTGTTCAAAAACAAACTCCATGACTAGGAGGCACATTACGTTCAGCAATGACGAAAAAATATTATATTCAGTCAAATACGAAAAGCAATGACCAAATATCCAAAGTCTCGCTTATTAATCATCTTAAAAATATTAAAAAGCTCTCATGACATTCAGAAGATCAAATGAAATGAAATTCGATGGAACATATTGCCATTAGTCTTTCAAGTCTTCAGATTCCACCTAAAACATACAAGCAAATTGATAGCATTTCCAGCCCATGACATTTGGGTCTGTAAGATTCCGCTCGCAAGAACGATATATAACTCCCAAGTCAAACTCTATTACCAGAAATCTTTTTGAATTGGTTCACACAACCCAATCAGGAAATACAGCTGATTCAAATCAGTAAGGCTTACGATACCAATGACAAGTAGTTTACTACCAAACTGAGTAAAACAAATGACATACAAACATCAGAATTTATTTATTTATTTAGGATCATGTATTCTATAAAGGCGAATTTGGTTAGTTAATATAATGAAAAAAAATTGCCATATAAGGTGTAGGGGAATTATTTTCTCAGGTAGTGTGACTGCTACAGTGCATGCCGGAGGACACTCGGACGACACATCGTCTTCCCCCTAGTTGTATGCATGCCCGGAAACTTATAACACCACATTCTTGCCTGCCAAAGACGCCGATTAGTCCGAGCGTCTTCCCGAAGATGCATTGCCATCCGGTCATCTTCCGACATGTAATAGCAACCACACTGCCTGAGAAAATAATTCCCGCCACACCCTAAATGACAATTTTTCCCCATGACATTATCTAACCAATTTTGCCATGCTATAAACACATAACATGCACATATATATGTGCGTATGTATAAGCTTCAAAATTCATTTTGAGACTACTATTGAATTACATTTCACATTAGTAACAATACAGGTTCCGAAATGGCGAAACCTGACATCAAGTGCTACGAATATGGTGTTTCTTGTCTACCACATGTCATAGTCCAAAATTACTAGAAACAATACTGTAAATTATTCACTAAAACTTTGTAGTAAAGAGAGGGGGGGGGGGGAACCACATACATGAACAAGTGAAGGATCAACAGTGGCGTATTCTCTCTGGAACAAGTACACATATTTAGGGTTGCTTGATGAATTTGGTAACTTGGAAACTTTCCTCTCCTCGATAGACTTGAAAGACCGTGTAGCAGCCACCAGAATGGGGTGTTCCAGCAAAGCCGCCAACAGATCCGATGGCTGTTTAAGAAAACAAAAACAAGAAGAAAAGGGAAAAGAAACAATCATCTGTCAAAACAAAGCAAGGTTAGCTTGAAATCCATTGTGAAACAATTCATAAATCACATCATAAAAAGAGAGTCGAATCGAGCAGATTGCGAATGAGGATGAAGAAACGAGAAGAAGATAATCCATTTTGCGTAAGTTTTGAATTCTGGGTAATTTGAAGGGGAAATACCCGAGACCCAGACGATGACGTTGAAAACGACGACGAAGAGTTAAAGGGTTTTCCATCCACAAAAATCATGGTGATGATGAATTGATGATTTTGAGCTCACAAGTCAAAGCTAAAACCCTTCTTCTCCAAAAAACCCAGATGAAGATTTCTTCGACTGTAATTTGCAAACCGATTTTACAACATAAAAATAGCTTTCATTATAACATTTTGATCTATGATTACGAGTTTCCATTCGAAATTCTCCATCTCTGACTCAGTGGGTGTATATAATCAACTCAATTTCAAACATCGCGTACATGTGACGGCTATTTTTTTCCTCTAAAGGTTTAATTATGAATCAATCCTCCTACTTTACTATAAATGGAAATTTTAGTCTCTCCATTTTAGTTTATCATAATTTGATCCTCATTCTTTTAAAGAAGCTTTAATATAAAATAAGTGCTCATATTATAATATTTTTCTATTTAGGAGTCTAAATTATTTAATTTCACGTATTTACTAAATATTGTATCAATTTCTCAGTTTTAATAAAGTTAATACTCAATTTTTATCCAAAGAAAAGTTAAGACTCAAATTTTGAAAATGAAATTTAAAATTATATTTTAAAAAAGTTTAGGATCTAACTTTTTTCATATGATTGTTTATGAATTAATATTTGATGTAGTTTTTTTGTCGTAAAAAATATCGGATGTATCTAAAATATAATTGGGTTAACTACATGATTAATCATTTATGTTTGTGTTTTGTCCACATGGCACTACACGTGTCACCAGCGACACGTAAAATCATTCGATTGAAAGATTAAATTTATTTTAATTTATTAAAAACAATATTAAATTTGAGAGAATATATAAATAATAAGGTCCAAATGTGTGATTATACCAAAATATTTAACTATTACGTCACTTAATCTATTAACTGTCAAAGGGGGTTAACTTTTTTGGTGACCAGATCTTAATTAAATAAAACGAAAGTGATTGTTATTATGTTTTCTTAAATCAGTGACGAAAAGTAGACAAAACACAAACATAAATGATCAATCATGTAGTTAACACAATACAATTTATATAGCCAATGGTTGTGGCCCTTAGCGGCTGAGGAGAAAAACACAAAACCCTAATTCAAATGGCCTTTTTGTTGTCAACGGGTCGGGCATGTGGGCTGGGCAGGCGGGTCGGTTCTGCCCGAACCGGTTTCTGGAAATTTCTTTGGTTAAAACTTGTCCCACGCGAACCGTCGGCGTGTGCGGAGGCGTACGGGACCTATTTCACTGGTCGATTTTCCCCAATTCAATAATAAGCTTAAATACAACTAAATCAATCCAATATTACACCAATAAACCAATTCAAAATAATAAAAACGATTACTAACTTACCCACGCCGACGATTGGCGACGGCGCGCCACCAGTGAGCAAAACTGGTGGTTGCAATGGAGGCGGCGGTGAGATGAATCAACGACGGACGTGGCTGAAAATGGATAAAATAGGCGGTGTTCGATGTGATTTTCACCAGCCAAACCTCGACTGATTCACGGAAAACGGCAACGTTTCTCAGTGAATCAAGGGTTGGGCTTTGCTCACCGTTCGACAGTGAACACTTTGGTGGTCGTGGCTCGGGCTTGGGGGAAAATTAATTCCGCTCAATTTGGGGAAAAATTAGGGTATGGCTCGACCAGGAAACTAAATATCACTGGGTATAAAAAATGGGAAATTCTGGGTTCTAATCCTTGCAATCCCTAAGACTTCTTTAAATGGCATACCATTTCCTAAGTTTTATAAATTAGTCCCTACACTATACCCAATTAAATTCTTTTATTAATTCTCTAATTTCCCTAAGAATTTGGGATGTGACAGTCGCCTATCGATCGAAACAAAATGATAATATAACAATAAAATATTAATAAATATATTACATCAATGTCAACGCTATTTATTTAAAACTGTAACATAAAATTAATATTTTAAAAAATTAAAATTAATATTTTTTTTATAAATGTTAGAACATTTTCTCACAAATTTAAATAACTGCAATATGTAATAATGTATTCACAGTGATGACTCTTAAATTTGTTTTGGTCATTGCAATATGTATGAATGCATGCACAATAATTTTTTTTAAATGTATTTGCCTATAAAATTGGGTAAAGTATATAAATAGTTCACTCGTTATAGGTGCTGCTTTATTAAATTTCTCGACTATTAAAAGTTATAAAATAATTTTCTAATAACAGAGTGTTGTTTTGTTGAGTCATTCAACTATTAAAAATTACAAAATATTCATCTGATCATTTATTATATTCTAATCTCATCATTTTCCTTTAAAAATTTGGCGATTGTCTAAGTTGAGCGTTAAAATGATGACTGAGATATGATAGTCGATGAACCTGAAAAACTTGACCCGAACCCAATTACCAGAACCAAGACCCAAACCCAATTTCTCGAACCGAAACACGAACATGATGATCTAAATTTGACCAGAAACCCGAAAAATCAAATTGAATCGAAATCGACCTGAATTTAGCCAAACTGAAAGTAACTCGAACAGAAAGTAACATCAATCGAAAGCAACCCGAACTGAAAATAACCTGAACCAAAAGTAACCCAATTTTAATTTATTCAAACTCGATTTGAACTGAACATTGACCCGATTTAACCCCGATAATTGAATTAAAATGTATAAAAATACTAAAATGACTTATTAAATTGGTTTTCAATTTATTAAAATCAAATTATTAATTATTAATGAGTTAATTACATCATATGTCCTCAATCTATGACCCTCATTTCAAATTAGTCCCTAAAATTTTAAACATTTCAATTTCATCCTTAAACTATAACTATTATTCTAGATTAGTCCTCAAACTTTTAAACATTTTATTTTCATCCCCAAACTATGATCTTCATCCTAAATTGTTCACCGAACTTTTTGAATATTTCAATTTTATCCTAAATTATTCGTATATACTACTAATCACCTCTCTTGTTAATAAAATCATTAGGCAAGTTATATTATTATATTTTTTGGGGGAAATAAAATTTAGGTTAAACTATGGTTGAAATGGATTACATACTTGGATGAATTTGGGGATGAAATTGAAAGATCTAATAGTTTTGGGACTAATTAGAATGAGATTCATAGTTTGGGGATGAAATTTGAATGTTCAAAAGTTTAAGGGCTAACTTAGAATGAGAGTCATAGTTTAAGGATGAAATTGAAATATTTAAAATTTTAAGGTCTAATTTGAAATGAGAGTCATAGTTTAGGTACATGATTCAATTCATTATTAATTTAATATTTTACTTTTCTTACTAAAATAATTTCCCAAAAATATTAAATTATTATATTTATAATTAAACGTTAAGTATCTAATTTAAATTTTTTAATAGATAATTAAAGTTATCGTCTCAAGCCGTCGTGAAAACTGAAAGGTCTCTTGCCGGAGCCGGAAAAGTTTGCAGAGTTCGCCGTGAAGCTTAGGCCAATCTTGAGAGCTAGGTTTGCTCGCAAGTGATTGAGCTGTAAGGACTAATTTTTAAGGTTCTTTGTGTGATTATGATTTGATTTTATTTTTATCTTTTGAGTTCGAGGGTTAAATTGATAAAATTAAAAAAAAAAATTCAATTTTTTCAGTAACATTAGAGTAAATTATGTATTTAATGACCTAACTATCATTTTGGTATTATTTTGGTCACCCAATTATTTTTTTCAAAATCATATCTAACATTAAGTTTTGGTTCCGTTTTGGTCACTTGATTTTAAAAATAAACAGAACTACTGGCATGATTATTCTTTTTTATTTTTTTCAATGATGATATAACATTATCTTATAATGACACGTCAAGATCACTATTAATTTTTTAATGGCAAGTGGCCAAAACAAATTTAAAATATAATTTTAGGTATGATTGTGAAAAAAAATAATAGTTTATGATCAAAACAGAACTAAAGTAATAGTTCAATGATTAAACACAAAGTTTATCCAAAGTTTTAAGCACATAGTGAAATAATAGAAACAAAGTTTATCTCATCTCACAAATTTCATTAATGAAAAAACCGAAAATTAATTTATTATTATATAATTAAAATTCTTTAAGCACATATTATCTTATATTCATTTAGTTTAATCAGAAAATAAAAATTATTTTTTAAATGAAATAAAAATAAAACGTACATTAATTCATTAAGAGATTAAGTTTATTAAAAGATAAAAATAAATAAATTCTACAAAACGAAATTAATATGAGGGTCAACTACGTATTTAGTACCTAAATTATCAGTTTTGGTTCATTTTAGTACCTAAATTTTCAATTTTTAAAAAAATCATATCTAGCATTTATTTTTCATTTCATCTTAGTACCCACCATTAAAAACTTAACGTGTTTAGTATTTAAATTATCAATTTCGATCCATTTTAGTGCCTAAACTTTTAATTTTTTTCGAAACTTAACATTAAATTTTGAACGGGATACTACAATGAAACAAAAACTAAAGTTTTTAACGGTGTGTACTAAAATGAAACAAAAAACTAAACTTTAAGTATGAATTTAAAAAAATTAAAAGTTTAGGTATGAAAACGAACTAAAACTATTAATTTAGGTACTAAAATCAGAATTTACCTTTAATATAATTTGTGCAGAAGAAAAGATTGTGCCACTCTAACCTATCTTCCTCCTCTTCCTTCCTTAAAATTTCTTTGCTTTTATTTTTCTTTAGTTTTTAAATATATTAATTTTAGGTATCCCTTTGTATTGAATTTTATTTTTGATTTTTCAATTTTTGAAGTTAAACATCCGATTCCGGATAACCCTTTCGAGAGAATCGGGAGGATTTGAAGTTTCGATCAGTTTCCGATGAGGAAAGGGAGAGTCACCGCCGCGGCAACCACCGTAGCGATGAAAGCGGCGGTGGAAACCGACGGATCTGCCAAAGAACAAAGATACAGAGGCGTTAGAAAAAGACCGTGGGGAAAATTCGCGGCGGAGATCAGAGATCCATGGAAAAAAGCCAGGGTTTGGCTAGGGACTTTCAATTCGGCCGAAGAAGCCGCCCGAGCCTACGATGCGGCGGCGATTTCCCTCCGTGGAAACAAAGCGAAGATAAATTTCCCTTTGAATCCCTCCGGTCTCCCTCTTTTTCATCGCCGGAACGACGAAAGCTTCATCGACGGCCACCGGTTTTATAGAGATCCGAAAGAGAATCCGCAAAGACCGGCGAGGAGTAGAATGAGCAGCACGGTGGAATCGTTTAGTGGGCCGAGACCGGCCCAACCACGGCCTAAACCGTCGGATTTCGCTGCTGTTACGACTCGGAAGAGTTCGCCGCCGATGGTGCCGGAGGACTGTCATAGCGAATCTGATTCGTCGTCGTCGGTCGTTGATGACGGGGCCTATATCGCATCGTCGTCTCGCCGGCAAACTTTGCCGTTTGATCTGAATTTTCCACCGTTGGATGAAGTTTACGATCTCACTTTAGGTCTCTGATCTTTCTTTCTGTGTAAACAATTTGTCCAATTCAATCCCTAAAGAAAACGGGTCTTCGATTCTATGATTTATCCATTTTTACGATTAATCTTTGTAGTTAGTGATAATGTAAGGATGATTCTTCCATGTTTCTGGGTTTCTTCATCTTCTTGCTTATGATCTTTCTCTATTGGTTTAATTACACAGAAATTGCCAAATTATCTTATTTAATTTCAAATTGATCTCTAAACCTCTAAAATATTCTAATTATGTCCTCAAAATTTCAATCAATTCTCTCAAATTATCATAATTAAATCTAGAGAAAAATAGTCACTTAATTATTAATTCTTTAACTTTTGTGTTTTAATAATTTAAAGTATCATAACAAACAGGCGGGACAAGTGCAAATATTTATTCCCATATTCGTATAACCATATAATATTTTCGTTGCCAATACCTACCCGATAATTTGACCAAAAAATCACCCTATTAAAAAAATATTACATATCAAACACATTTTCCTAACTATTTTCCGATCTAACACTTTTTTTTCAAGAGAGAGAATGAGGCACATGGCAAGAGACGCGCCTTAGTCGGAGGAGAGAAGGCACGTCGCATGAAACACGGCTTCCATGAGTTTTATGATGTAACATACCTCCCTTGAATGTGTGTCGTAGGGGACACGCCTCCCATACCTAACGATTTTAAGTTTAGTGTTTTATGTTAAAGTAATTTTAGGGTTTTATAATTAGTTTTAGGATTTTTAGTGGCTTAGGGTGTTATATTTGTATGATTTAGGGTTTATAAAAAAGTTTAGGGTTAAAATTGATTGCATGTTAGAATGTTTGAGTTTTTAAAATAGGGTAGAGAAAAAAAACAACCCCTATAAGATTAGGTTAGGTTAAAACCCGTTGGGTTCAGATATTTTGATCATTCCTATATATCTTTAATTACTCTTATACATAATTAATTAAATATTTTAAATTTTATTGTGTTTGAGCTTTAATGATTTAATGGGCCACTCATTTTCAGACTAAGGGGTTGTTTGTTTGCCTCTTAATGGAATCATTCAGTGCTGAATGTTGAACCGTTCAACATTCAGCGCGTTTGTTTTGCACCTCTGAATGATTCAGTGCTGACTAATTCGGCAAAACAATGCTGAATGATTCAGCACATAAGTACATTTTGAATGATTCAGAGCCATTATCAAACAACATGTCACATTCAGAGCTAATTCATACAGAGCCTCTGAATCATTCAGCATTTAAATCATTCAGTGCTTAATCATTCTGAAATAAACAAACAACCCCTAAATGATATCTAAAATCTAAATACCTAAACCTTTAGGATTTTCAAGTAATCCAAAATTATAATTTATCCGATCCAAATTATCCAAAAATAAAAAAGAATCGAATATCTCAATTTTTAAATGTAATCATCGAATTAGATCTTTTTGCACACCCTAATATCATCTATTTAACATGGGATTATTAATAGACTTCCAACCCGCCTCGTGAATTTTTATTTTGGTTAAATTACAGTAATAGTCACTAAATGTTTAGAGTATCTTTACTTTAGTTACCAAAATTGGAAATTTTTATTACAGTCACTATTGCTGAGAACAAATTATTTAGATCACTAGACTGATAAATTATTAATAAAAACTGACGTGATTCATTAATACCCCTAAAAAGACTGCACATCTATCATTTCTTTTATCGTCGCTCAATAATTTTTTCAGTCGAAAAGATCATTGAATTACTCTTCTTTTTTTCTTTTCGTTCTTCGGTTAAAACCCGTTGAAAAAAAACTTATACTCTCCCCAAATCATAATTGAAACTAAAAGTTAAAACGCTTTCAACCGTCATTATCGACCGTGAGATCGACTAAATTATTATAAATGTCACGAATTACTTGTTTGGTTTAATCTAAGATTTTGTAATTTAAGTTACAATTAATTTTAATAGGGTAAATTCAACCATAGGATCACTCAATAATTAACAAAATTATGAATGTCACTAAATTCCAAAAAGTTATGAACAAATTAATCAATTAATACTCCAAAAACAACTTGTTTGTGACCTATTGATATTTAGTGACTCATTTGTAATCGAACTAATAATTGAGTGACTTATAATGTAATTTACCCTTTATGATAAAATTTTCCTTTTCCAAAAATGAGTTCATATAAAAGAAAAAGTTGAAAAATGTTTTAAAAGCTGAAAATGATAGTTGAAATGAAGAAATGAAGTGAAATTGCTTGGGCTAATACAAAAATAAGTGCTTGAATTATACTTAAAATTTACTTTTGGTGCCTAAAGAATTTTTTTTGTTAAAAATAAATACCTAATATTTTCTCCGTTATTTTTTTAAGTGCCTACCATTAAAAAAAATATTAAGTAACACGTGTCATGTTTATATTTTTTATTTTTTTAAAAAATAAAATATTATTCAAAAATATATATTTTTTAAAATTGACTTGAAAGTGATACTTTTAACGGTAGGCATCTAAAAATGTAACGTAAAAAACATTAGATACTAATTTTAAATATAGTTTATACACTTATTTTATATTAAGCCAAATTGCTAATCAAAAGCTATGGATACACATACACACTAGCTCAAGGACTAAGACTACATATGATACACAGAAGCAAATAGCAAGCAATGATGCTCAGATGTGCAACAGGTCCAGGCTGCAAACCTTTTATCCCTGTGTTCGACATAAACGGTTACGAACCCGGAAAATCGCAAACAAAATCGATACGTCGGTACTATGTTTACCTGATCCGAGTAGAGGATATAATTTGCTACGTCAACAAATCATGGCATGCCAAGTAAAGATATGCATAACTGAATTTAACTCGATATCGGCTGAAAGCCTCCTTGGAATTCATCGTAAAGCCATCTGCAGAATGAATGGTTGCAGCGTTAGTCAAATTCCAGAACGTCATGCGTTTAATACGTGCTATCGAATGAATACACATACTTGCATAAGAAAATTGCCCTTGATCCTTCATTTGCTTCGATTCCCGATAGGCTTCGCCTTTCACTTTCTTCTTTGAATTTGGCAGCGGGAAGAACTTCACACGGGCACTGAATCGAGCTTGCCATTACAGTGCTATCGTTATTAGATTCATAAACCTACAACGAATAGAAGGAACCATTGGCAAACCATCAGATATTATTTGCTACTATGAAATACATGTAACTTAAACATGCATGAAGGATTACCTCATTGGTTTCAGGGGCACATGGATGAGCGACACTCTCCGGCAAATCACTAGGAGAGTAGCATCTTTTGACAACCACCCACTTTGCCCCAGTTTTAGCATCCTCCCACATTGCCTGCAATGAAGATCCAAAATTTTGAAGTTGGTCCGTACGGAACGTTGGAACCAGTAGTCCCCTCGTATAAATTCTTTTGAACATGCTTACCTGAAGCTTAGATGGTATCAGTTTATCCAGGCCAAAATGAACAAGAGCATGATCATGAACCATATACGTTACGCCGTCAATGCAACAAGATTGGTAAAACTTTTTCTCATCCACAACTTGAAGTACGTCAGCTGCCCATTCAACAGCACGCAAGCCACCAGAAGAAAACTCCGGATTCCTTGAAGTCTCGGTATTAGCTTCGCAATTTGCAGTAGGATTCACTTGTGCAGCTGCAGCATCTTGTTCAGTTTGATCAATCTGTTTAATGCAGTCAATATCTCCTTCCGAACCTTTCTCCAAATTTTTGACTCCAGATCTTTCACCGTGGCAATTATTTGAAGGAATTTCAGCACTGTTTTGCTGCTCAGTTGGAATATCTTGATTGATATGTGAAGGCTGTGAATGCTCTGCCTTGTCGTTGATAGTGTTAGATGATGTATCCACAGTCTGTGACGTTGTCGTGGGGTATTTTCTTTCTTCATGATTAGATGATTCAGTCATTTGAGAAAGTTCTTCGGGTTTTTGAGTTACTGTGCCAACAGAAGGAGTATCACATACAGCCTCCGAAGGTTTTGTTGAGTTCCCTTTTGGAACCTTAGAACCTGATGCTGACTCAAGAGAGTTGCTGTCAACCGTAGCAGACACAGCAGGAGTCTGCAACGCTAAGCTTCCATTTTCAGTTACCTTCTCATGATTGATTGATGGACCCAGATTTCCCACTTTCTTCTCTGAAGATGACTGAGCTTCAGCTGAGCTAGAAGGAACTTTGGGTACATTGATACTTCTCATGACACGACCGTATTTGGGGGGCAAAGGTTTCCCATTGCAAAACGACAAGCATCTAGCACAGTGCCACTCACCTCTAGGGATTCCCTTCGGCTGCAAACATTTCAAGTGAAATCCTTTCTCACATGCATCACAGAGCAGCACATTTTCGACTTCATTAATGCCAAGTTTGCACGTTTGGCAAGTCACAGCCTTATTCATATACTCTCTAGAAGGAGGACTCCAAGTAGGATGTGTGGGAAGCTTCGGTTGTAACAACTTTTGAACAATTCGAGCAATTTCATTGTGGTTATTAGTAAACGGAGGAGCTTGCGTAAAGTTCACACCTTGAACTGGCTGGTGCACACTAGGAAAAGTTCCGGTTGCAGTCTGAGTGATGAATGGTCTAAAGGTTTGATCTCTCACTGCTTGAGGAGTCATCTGTGCCGTAGTTGAACCAGTACTTCCTTCAACCTTGGTTGGATGATGAGTCAAAACCTTGCTCTCTTGCCTGGATTTAGCTAATGCTGCAGGTTGTGCATGCATAGACCAAGCGGGAGCATTCGGGAGTGAATGGCTTGCTGAAGAATTAGCTGAAACGGACAACATTGACATTAATCTGGAGGCGATGCACGGACAAAGATGCTTAAATGTTCAATAGAACCGACTAAGGGAGAGAATAGTACCAATATAGCAGCAAAATTTTGGGTAAATAAACCACAGTATTATAATTTGCAAGACTATAGCATTGATCATTTCATAATCATCTAATCTCTCCTAAATGATACGCAAACAGGCCCGTCAGTTCTTCTGCTACCAAGAGAAGGTGACCTGGTTGAAGATAGAATTACCTGGTACATAGGAAACATAAGAAGCCACGTTTG